ATCCAACCATTCAAGACCTCATGCTTGAGGCCATGGTAACCTCGAGCACTCTCCTACGGCTTGACCATCCTCGAGTTTATATGGTCGGGCTTGTCACTTTCTCCCCTGGGCCACAACATCATTGGGCTCGCATAAGTGAGCTCGAGCTCAAGTTTGAAGCGCCTATCTCGAACTATAGCTCGATCTTCCCCCACACATTTACTCAAGCACAAGGTTGGGCTCATGCCTTAAAGATTGAGGTCGGGCTTCATGAGATCGGGCCCTAGAAATGTCAATCTCACTTTGACTATAAATCTTTATGACCTTTACCTTCATCTAAATCACTTATATATCACAATTTGACTCAAACTCAAATAAAACACTTTTATTATAACACAAACACTCTACATGATAAAGATAAGGGCTATAGGCAGTTGAATCCTTTCACAACTCTACCACTAACATCTATAAATACATAACCAAAGCTCATTGCGAAGGTATGTTTTTACATACAATTTTAGTATAAATTTTCATATAAATTCTTGTATAATTTAAGCATAAAAGGGACGACGATAACACACATCGTTGCCTTTGTTTTAGGTATTGGAAGACTTTGTTCGTGCTCTTTTTCAATCCTCAAACTCAGGAGATTTACCAGGTACGATTTTTGATTGCATCATACATGTATAAAAAATACTTGGATGGACTTATAAATATGTACAGAGCCTATAGAAAAATACAGAATCTCAAGCGAAAAATGCTAACTTCTTGATTCTCTCAGAGATAATATTTATAAAAAACTTTTCACAAATTTTATTATATCAAAATATAACTAAGTTTCTTATAACATTTATTTAAAAGAACAACTAAAATGGATAAGGACTAAAATCTAGGTAATAATAAAACTTAAAAGATAATATCAAAAATTAAAATTTCTAATCATCAAAATTAATCTGCTATAATCAAAATTAAATTCTAAATTTATTTAATAAAAAACTAATCAGAAAACTAAAAATACAATTTCAAAAGCCTTAATGATGAAATTTGGTCGAAAAATGTTTTATATCAAGGGAAAAGTTGATGAGTTTTATCTAAACTTATAGAAAACGAACACTAAAAAAAAAAATTATTTCTTTTAATTTCAGTTTCACTAATCTCTTCTTTGATTCTCATTCTTTTAAAAATTCATTTTTTCAAAAGTTATTTTCAACCACATATTTCTTCAATAAAATAATATTACACGTAAATCTAAAACTTTTGTTTAATTTTTAACCTCACATTCACCATTAATTTACTTTTCAAAATGCATTATTTACCCCAAAATGAGGATCAAACAAGGGCTTTCACGAAATCTTTTATTGTTATGTACTACATCAATAAAATAATAATAAACTTTGCCAAACACGTACTTATTGGAAAAACCGACAAATTGACACGTATTCAATTACGTTATTCTCGCTTGACTCTTCTTAGGTAGCAAGCATTCAATGTCACAAGATTTCTTTAATTTAATTTTTCTTTTTGACCTTTTTATAATGTGATTGCAAGCATAAGAATCTACGAGAAGCCCCACCCATTTGTCCATAGGATCCAAAGCATATCCCAATTAGTTAAACCATGAATAATTGCATATCATATTTAACGGTCACGATTTGTTTACACATTCTCGAATCATTAAATCGCATTAGCGAGATGATGCCACCGAAAAGAAAAACGCGTTTTGCCTCTGAAGATTTTCAAGAAATTGGATCATTGGCGACAAAGCAGGTGTCATGTGTAACGTGCCATTTAGCAATCATGTTGGACCTCAGTCAATACGGCAATTTCTAAGGGACTGTTTGGTATGATTTTTGAGAAATCAAAATGAACTTTTGAAATTTAAAATCTGCTTTTGATTTTTATAGTTAACTTTTAAATAAATTCGATCCAATATAACATTCTCTAAAAACTTTTTCGGAAGACAAAGTTCTTTTTTTTATTCTAAGTGCATGTTTGGTATTAATTTTTCTCGTCAAAAAATCAATTTCTTTACCGTTATTTTGGACATCTTCTCTCACAGGTAAGATCCACTTTTCTATCTGACGATCAAAAAACCAATTCTCAAAATCAGTGTTGAACAAACCCTAAATCTTATCTTGAAATAAAAATTATGCATTTGTCAAATTGGATTAAGAAAACATATTAATTCTTAGTCGACTAAATATTTAAATAATTTATTTATTCATAACGTAAAGTTTACTTGGTAAATAAGAAAAATCTTGTTCAACATTGGTGTGATCATGCACTTGCAAGGTTGGACCAATTAGTCTTACCTTTTCATGCCATCGTGCGGTCCACCGAAATCCTTTTCTTCTTTAATTCAAAATGCGTCAAAACACTGAAAATTGGTCGGTTTTACCAATTCGAAACTTAGGATTTCCTTTAAAATTATTTGTGGACGTGAAAGACATTTTACAATTTAGTTTAGTTTAGACCAAAAGGGCCCCTTCACAAATTTCCCATTTGCAGGTGTCTGCACGTGTTTTCTGCGTGTTTAAAATGGATCCTTTCTTCGATCCTTCGAATTAATTAAAATCCCTGACTCTATCAACAAAAAATTAAAAAGTAAAATAAAATAAAAGGAAAAAGAAGGGGGAGATTCTCTTTTGGGGATAACGTTAGCTAAGGGAGGCGTGTGAAAAATAAAAAAGAAAAAGGTGTATCCATTGGTTTTGGACACTCACAAGCATTTTATGCGAAAATACCTTGAGACTCGTAGGGAGTCATTATCTATCTTCTAAATTTGTTATCGAGCTATTTAATTGTAAAATTTGACGCTACATGTACAGATTTATTTTATCAGAATGGTGCCATATTCATATTTGATAGGATTTCATTGACAGTTGTGTCGAAAATACTTTTTAACCATTCAATCACAAATTGTCAACTATGAATCTGTCACCAATCGGACAAAATGAATCTGTACAAGCAGCATAAACTTTTAAGAATGTAGTGTGATAAATTTTTAGATGAGGACCTTAAATAAAATTTCATCTTTATTACTATCCCTTCAAAACAAACCACACACAACCTTTACGTTAAGTTTTTCTTTCTTTTTCTCCCCTATAAGTTTGCAATGATTCGAAACAAAAAGGTGTATCCATTGGTTTTGGACACTCACAAACATTTTATGCGAAAATACCTTGAGACTCGTAGGGAGTCATTATCTATCTTCTAAATTTGTTATCGAGCTATTTAATTGTAAAATTTGACGTTAGGATAAATTTTTTTAACAAGTACCAAAAATTTAAGACTCTTAATTAAAGAGATTAAATAATTAGTGGATCTAGTCATTCTTTTTTGTGACGTGACAAAATTGGGTTCCTAGATAGATATTCTAAATTGAAGGGGTCCTTCCTTCCACTTTCCTCTTTTTTGTAAGCTCGCATTAAATCCCAAATTCAAAATTTCATCTTCAACATAACTCTATTGAAGAAGTAGACCAATTTCTTTCATTTGATTCACGACATCACACTTGGACCGTCAATTTATCACGATCCTTTTTCGTGTTGAACACGTGATTGTTTATAAATACACAGATGGATGTAAGTATGATAAAATGCAAGGGTCATAATTGTTTTTTTTTCCTAAATATTATATATGGTAGAAGAGACGCAATCAAACTCTCTATTAATCACAATTAAGACCTAAAATCTACCTTTTGCACAATTAATTTGGAATTTATTGTTTGACTCGCCTTTAATACAACTTAACCTGAATAACAAAATTACAACTTGATATAAAAGACCTACTCTCAACGACTTCAACAAAAAAAAGGACTTATTGGGCTAAAAGTTATAAGTAAAAAATTTGAATTTAGCCAAACATTTGCTCATATGCCAGCCTTTAGCCAAGGTCCTGTTTGGCGGTCACTAAGGTAGAGAGATAAAGAGAGTGCAAGAGCCAAAAAAAGTAGGTCCACAGATTCTCTAGTCACGGGGCAACCCGACGCGGATTAACTGCCGTGAAAGAATCTGTGACCAACCAGAAATAGCAGACCAAAAAATTAAGATAATTGCTTCGACGATAATTTAGATGTCACGAGTCTTAGTCCGTTTGGTACCCATTTTTTTTAAAATATATTTTTTCTCTCTCTTTATTTTAAGCACACATTCTTTATTAAAATAATATTACACGTAAATAAAAATTTTTTCTTATTTTTCAACCATATATTTATCATTAATTTACTATTTAAAAATATATTTTTACATAAAAATGTCTCCCAAACACGCTTTTTTTTATTTTGTATTTATTGAACCTATTAAGGGGCTGTTTTGGCCCGATTTTTTCATCTAAAAAATTAATTTTTTGACCGTTATTTTACTATTCCAGCCGTCATATTTGACTTCTTCTCTCACAAGTGGACCTCACTTTTCTCATAACGGTCAAAAAATCAATTCTCAAAATCACTCCCAAACAGGCTCTAAATGAGTCTTAGTGTTACAAGTACTATCACCTATCTAATTTCAACAAGCAATACTAAATAGAATTAGCTAAAAATTGAAAATTTTATTTCCCAAAATAAAACAATTTGCGTTGATACCTTATTATTATTATTTTTAAAAGTTTTATAATAGTGAATTTTAGAGAATGTGTTGCTAAAAAGTAGGAAAACGTTCCGAGTTTTTCTCTGTTTGACAATCATTAAAATAAAATTATTTTTTCTCAAATTCATTTTCAATCATACATTCTCATAAAAAAATATATATATTTTTTGTACATAAACTCTTTTCTTTTTTTAACTTTTTAATCACACTATTCCAAAATTTATTTTTTAAAAATACTCATTTTAATAGTTGTTAAATAGGGGCAAATTTGTAAAAAAAAAATGTGTGATTAAAAATAATTACAAGAAAAAATAAGTTTTATGTACAGCGAGATCAATCGGTGCTAAAATCAGACGTTTTAATTAGTAGTGAAAGTGGGCCCACGACCCAGCCCAGAATCCCCTTCCCTTTTTCTATATAAATTCACTTCGCCGTTGATGCAATTCTCGCTAACTCACCGTTCATTTACCGCTCTTTTGCTAACCTACGGAAACTCCGTCTCCTTCTTCTTCCTCACTGCCTTTAGGTTACTGTGAGATCTCAAATCCTCAAGCCTCTCCACTTTCCTCTGTTACCAATAGTAATTCTTCATTTAACAGATTAACTGACGCCCGTTAGGCTTCCGTCAAATCTCAACTCCTTAAATCTCTCTTTTTTTTTTTTTTTTTTTTTTTTTTTTTTCAATCGGAAATTTTCATTTCTGCTTTTGGATCTGCATGGTGGGGTGCGATTCAGGGTTTTAGAGTTGTTACTGATTCATTTTTCGTACATTTTTTCAAATTTGTGGCGTTGAAATTATCTTCTTCTGAGCGTTAGGCGTGGGGATTTTTGGGTCGCGTAAGAGTGCGTGTGGCTCTCGTTCTATTGTGACGCAGATCTTCATTTGCTTCTTTTGAGGGGGTAGCCGGGGCTCCGGCCTCGGCGGGTTTTAAAGCCCCCAGCTGTTACAAAATCATTTTTAAAAATCGTGAAAATAATTCTAATTTTTGTGAAATATTCATTCTTTGATTCTTTTATCGGATCGGAAAAGAGATGCCGGCCTTGGCTTGCTGCTTAGACGCTTCTGTGGCGCCTCCTATTGGCTATGCCTTTGCCGGGGAAAGCGGTCTTCCGACGTCGGAGGTGTTCTCATCCTCCGGTGAACCTCCTTCTACAAACATCGCCGCCGCCTTTACTGCCATGCCTGCCACCTGGGCACCCGCTCAGTCCGCCGCACTCTACCGGATAAACGGGTGGGGTGCCCCTTACTTCACCGTCAACTCCTCTGGCAACATTTCGATCCGCCCCCATGGTGTTGGGACGCTGGCCCACCAGGAGATCGATCTCCTCAAGGTGGTGAAGAAGGTCTCAGAGCCGAAATCTTCTGGAGGGCTCGGGCTTCAGCTCCCTCTCATTGTGCGCTTCCCAGATGTGCTAAAAAATCGACTTGAATCTCTGCAGTCGGCTTTCAATATTGCTATCCAATCGCACGGCTACGAGGCCCATTATCAGGGCGTTTATCCTGTGAAATGCAATCATGACAGGTACGTGGTTGAGGACATTGTGGAATTTGGTTCGGGATTCCGCTTCGGGCTTGAAGCGGGCTCCAAGCCGGAGCTTCTCTTAGCCATGAGCTGCCTTTGTAAGGGAAACCCGGAGGCGCTTCTGGTATGCAACGGATTTAAGGACGCAGAATACATTTCTCTTGCGTTGGTTGCTAGAAAGCTGCATTTAAGCACTGTAATTGTGCTTGAACAAGAGGAAGAGCTTGATTTAGTGATTGATATCAGCCGGAAACTTGGTGTTCGTCCCGTGATTGGTGTTCGAGCCAAGCTGAGGACCAAGCATTCTGGACATTTCGGGTCCACTTCCGGGGAGAAAGGGAAATTTGGTTTGACGACAGTTCAGATTCTTCGCGTTGTTAAGAAGCTCGAACAATATGAAATGCTGGATTGCTTACAGTTGCTGCATTTCCATATTGGATCTCAAATTCCATCCACTGCTTTGCTCGCCGATGGTGTTGGTGAGGCTGCTCAAATTTACTGTGAATTAGTCCGTCTTGGTGCTTGTGTTAAAGTCATTGATATTGGCGGAGGCCTTGGAATCGATTATGATGGCTCAAAATCTCAGGATTCCGATATTTCTGTTGGTTACAGTCTTGAAGAATATGCTTCAGCCGTTGTTCGGGCTGTTCAGTTAGTATGTGACCGTAAGGGCATGAAACATCCAGTGCTTTGCAGTGAAAGCGGCCGTGCAATTGTTTCTCATCATTCAATTCTATTGTTTGAAGCTGTTTCTGCAAGTTCCTATCAATCGTCTCCAATGTCTTATGGACTTCAGGACCTAGTCGAGAGTCTCCCTAATGATGCTCTTGCTGATTATGGGAATTTATCTGCTGCTGCGGTTCACGGTGAGAAAGATACTTGTTTACTTTATGCAGAGCAGCTGAAACAGAGGTGTGTGGAGCAATTCAAAGAAGGGTCTTTGGGGATTGAACAGCTGGCTGCAGTGGATGGCCTTTGTGAATTGGTTTCCAAGGTGATTGGGGTATCTGATCCTGTCCGCACTTACCATGTGAATCTATCAGTTTTTACCTCTATTCCCGATTTCTGGGGCATTGGCCAGTTGTTTCCTATCATTCCAATACACAGGCTAGATGAGTGTCCTGCAGCGAGGGGGATTTTGTCGGACTTGACATGTGATAGTGATGGGAAGATCGACAAATTCATAGGAGGTGAGTCTAGCTTGCCTCTGCATGAGTTGGAAGGCAGTGGTTGTATCAATGGTGATGGTGGGAGCTACTATTTGGGGATGTTCTTGGGTGGGGCTTATGAGGAGGCGCTTGGGGGTGTTCACAACCTATTTGGTGGCCCAAGTGTGGTGCGCGTGTCTCAGTGCAATGGTCCACACAGTTTTGTCGTGACTCACGCAGCCCCTGGTCCATCCTGTGGTGATGTGCTACGGATGATGCAGTTTGAGCCCCACCTCATGTTCGAGACTCTCAAGCACCGTGCAGAGGAGCTTGCCAACAATGGTGATGACGATTCTAATGGCAGCATGGCTCTTGCCAGTGGCCTTGCCCGGTATTTTGATAGCATGCCATATCTGGTGGCTGCATCCTCTTGCAGCCTGACTGCTGCTGGAAGCAATGGTTACTACTATTGCAATGATGTTCCCAATGTTGATTCTGTTGCTGTGGAGGATGAGCAGTGGTCTTACTGCGTTGCTTGAGTTTTTATTACTGAAGTCTTGAAGTGTCTCTTGTGGTTTGTTCTTGTTTGTGGTCAAGGTTGTCCATCTTCTGTTTTCGATTCGAACTATCCTCTTTTTAACTACGTTGTTCCTTTGTCCTTTTTACTTGTTGATGAACAAGTCTTGTGCATTCTGTGGAGTCGTATTGGGAAATTCGTTTATCAATTCCCCCCTTGCTTCATGTATTGCTTTTCAATGACTTCTTGTAGGATTTTATTGCAGACTTTTGGTTTAATGAGTAGTCTCTTATGATCGTATCATTTAACTGGTGGAACTTTAAATCTTTCATTGGATTCGATAAGCCCAGATGGACATATTGATTGCTATCTGTCTAGCATAGAGGTGTAAATCGGGTCGGGGGGCTGGAACTTTTTGTTACCTCGAGTCTAACCTTCTCAACCAAGCATTGAATGGAACCATATGGCTTGTCCTTACGGTTACTTGATGATTTCCTTCTTGTATGCTGGTCAAAGAGTTTGTGGGCTTATCCTTTTGAACCTTGTAGTAACTGTGACTAAGAACTGAAGATTTTCTAGGATTGTGGCTGTAATTTCGTGTGAGAAATGCAAGGTTTTGGAGATTGATGGGTGTGGTTTCATTTAGAGATTTTGAAATTTATTTCTTCATACCATTTGGAAATTGTTGAGATCCATAATCTCATGGAAAATGGAATGACACCTAATTCTGTATTATATATATCAATCAGGATTATGCATATTGAGTACAATTTTATGTTAATTGACAAAACCATTCAAGGAAACAATGGATACACTGTCATCTGCTTTGGATTAACGTTAAAAATATTCATAAAATAAAAACACCCGGGTGGCTTATAATTTCACACTGTTTTTGGGAGTAGATCAGCTAATCCAAGTATTCTTCGTTTCACTAGGTTCACAAAACTTTTCGCATCGGGATGCATTACGATAGCTAGGCCAGGTGAGATTCTCCATCGGATGCTTATTCATATTAAGGATGAGATAGGATTGAATATCATGCCTAGGAAAAAAACTGAAATGGCCAACTGGATATTGGATTTTATTATTAGTGTATATACATTGGAATATAATGCAAAGTTTATCTTCTGAATCACTAAGAAATGGCTATTTGATTAAACTTTTAAAGCTGTTACTCATAGCAAACAAAGTTAATCTTAACCTGGTTCAACCGTGGATACACACTTTCTTAAGTCTCACAAGGGTTATTGAGCACTGTGCATGGGGTGTGTTTCAGACCCCTTCAGGTGAAATGGTGATGGCACGGATAATGCTTGTCCCATGTCATTGCCATGGCCAATGTGTGTACTCGGCAAGGACGAAAGCTAGGTAGCGTGTTGGCAATGAATGAATGTGCACGCGTTCGGTGGGAAGCTGAGGCGTGCAATGTTGCTTTATCCTATTTCAGCATTGCACGGGCGAAATTAGTCGACCTGGTGGGATGGATGGCCGTGAGCATTAGTTGGCTGGAGGCATGAATCAGGCAGCAAGTCACAGGCCAGCTTGCTGTTCAGCTAACTTGGTCCACATTTTAGTACAGAAACAGGTACAAGAATGACACATGATCTGAGAGTTATGGATGGTTGCTGAGTGCTTGGAATATGGACCAGTTTGGCTTAGTGAGATGCTGGATTGTGTGTAATTACCCTAGCACTTGGGGTGTCAAGTGCATACGGATTTGTGTACTAAAAATGACAAAGGACGGAAACGTGAATAATAATAAAAAGATCTTGTTCGAAAACACGAACGGGTATTGTCAAAATTTTGCACAAATGGATGTGAGAAATGTCAAAATAATCATGCTACAAGTACAGAATTTTTTGATAGAAAAACTTGATAGACAACACATGGCCCGGGATTATTGGAAGATGGAAAAAAAGAAGAAAAACAGTCCACTAGCATTTTGCCACGTCAGTGTTGGTACAAGTTCTGTTAAATTTTTCATGTACTTGTGGCTTTATTGATGCCAAAATCCACTGGATAAAGGAAAACTGAAATATTATTATTCAAAAATGGTTGTAGAGTTTTCAAACCCTTAACACATATTTAAAGCATCAAAGTAAAATTCTAATTCAGTAGACAATTTTGAATAGAACTAGGAAATTGAAAAAATGATGAAAATAGCCTTAAATTGACTCAAAAAATAAAATAAAAAATAAAATGCTAAAATGGACCCCTGGATGATGGAATTTGATCATGAAAGTTTGAAGATCGTTACCACGACAAAACTGTAGAGAACTTAAAATGCTTTCGAATTGTACTTGCTCGCATAAATTATACACCCAAATTGAAATTTATGCTCATTTTCATATGCCCTTCTTATTTCTTTTCTTTTCCAACTGATTTACGGTCTTCTCTTCTAGGCTCCGCATCAAAAAGGACCTACTCAGATGTTGCATTAATATTTATGAGTGAAAATCCAAAAATTGTTCAAATCTATCTCAAAACTTATAGTAGAAGTCTGTTCAAAGCTGCTCTTATTGGCCTTCAGGTTTTATATTTCCTATTATTTTTATTCTATGGATACGTATTACTCATTTAGGCCAGCGACTATGTCGAAGAAGTTAAATTTATACAAATATCACTTAATGGAGATGATAATTTTTTGTAATATTTTCTTTGGCAGATTTGGATTTTGCCCCCACTTTCTGATATTGTCAATTCTTGAACAGAACAATTCCACATCCAAAACCACCCGTGTCCTTGTCCAAGAATCTAAGAGGGTGTTTGGTAGGAATTTTTATGTGAAAATGCATTTTTAAATAGTAAATTGATGGAAAATGTGTGGTTGAAAAATAAGAAAAAGTTTTTGATTTACGTGTAATATTATTTTAATAAAGAATGTGTGGTTTAAAAGAAGAGAGAGAAAAATACATTTTGATAAAAATGGATGCCAAACGGGGCCTAACTAAAACTCCCTCTAGAATTATGTAAGAACAGCAAAATTATCAATCAGCGTGGCTGGTCCTGAAATTTTTGAGGCTTTAGTCGATAAATTATTGTGAGGCCCTATATTTATTTTTTTTACAAGCGTAATTAGCATTAAACATGGTCGAATCGAAGAGCTTCTCGTGATGAGGAACATTATATTTGTGATATTCACTCACTATTTGATTCGTCCAAGAATCAATTTTCGTGTTCAAGAAATAGAATATAAAAGATTTTCGAAAACTAGTGACGTATTGAGGTGGTAGCCAACGGTCGAAAATGAAGTAAAAAAAATCAGGATTTCGGTTAATTTTATGTTACTCAAAGACACGACAGCCTTCTATGCTTTTTACACGTGGAGGTATATGTTTGAATGGAAATCCACTTCCTTGGCTCTAGTGGGCTGTAGTTTTTGTCCTTCAAGGCAACAGCCATACACGATGTAGCAGGATCATGAGAGATATGTGTAATCAATCTTATTTCTTTTCACATTGCCAAGTTACGACTTGGTTTGGGGCCTATAAACAGTTGGGTGGGACTCTTCTTCTAGAAATGAGGGACAAGTTCTACGGAATGTGATTAATAATTGAAATCAAAGGTATTATTCAACAGTATTCTAAAATTCAAGCATGCTTCGCATATGCCCGCATATGCTTGGAACTTTTTTCAAAACGCCTGGCATATAGTGTATGCACATGGTAATGCAATCAATATATTCCGTAGACTGCATGTGCAAGCGTTCACTAAAATGCCCATGTAATTGCATTAAAAATTGTGTCAAAATTAGCCTAGCAAAGTTCAGCCCATTTTTATAACTTAAAAAAGCAAATTGTGCTCAACAAAAATCAAATTAGCCCGAATCATCCAAGTCCATGAATTATATGCAGTAATTTATAGGGTTTTGACGTTCATAAAATCCACAATCAATTTTTTGGAACCTCCTTCTTGTTCGATATTCTTCTAGTTTTATTAGCAAGTGATACTAATAATGCACAATCTTGGATGGTTAATGGTTGTGATGATGCGAAGGAGGTTAACAATGATAACTTCCCATTTACAAGAGGTAATATAAACTCTTTATTTAAAATAAGGGAGCTTGATAAAGATGATTTTTATCGAATAACATTAAAGATAATTTAGATGAAAAAAAGAATATTGAATTGGAATTCAATAAAGAGCCATACAAGATTTAGGATTTTTAAGCTGGTATTCGTGTCTAATCTAATAATAGGAATTGATAATCAAGTAATTGTAATATTTATGATTTTGACTAATATATAATTTTATGAAAATTTGAAGAATATGAATAAAGTTCAAAGAATGTATTATTATTTTTTATTTATTAGTTTAGAATATTTAAAATAATATTAAAGATAAAAAAACGCATAATTCCGCATATATTTATAATGCTTAATGTTCGATCGAAACTCATTGCCACATATTACGAATTTTAGAACCTTGCTATTCAAGAGATGATTCTAATTGCTGACTAGGCAACGTGGAGAGATACTTTTAGTGGAAGTTTCATAGAGTTATTCTTGGGTGACAACATTAGGGGGCTGTCCAAGGGGCTTTAGCTAGTTTCATAATGTGAAGTCGCCTTGCTCAAAACATGGGCTCGCCATGTATGTTGATTTTTCAAGGACTGGAGGGGGGCGGGGGCGGGGGGGTTCTGTAATGACTTTAATCGTGTCCAACATAACTAATTTAAGGCTTGATTGTGGGCTTATAAACAGTTAACCACCCTTCCATTTGGTGGTCGAGCCAAGCCTAGATTTGGGAGAGCCTAGCTGTTGTGGTCAATAGTCGACAATATAGCTGTAGCGGTAGGGGCGGACCCAAGGGGGGTCCCATAGGGTCACTTGACCTTCCAATTTTTTCATTTTTTTTAAGTTTTCGGGCTCACTATGGAATATCAAATGAAGTTGAAATATTACATTCTTAGAGATTGTTTGGTAGAGATTTTAATCCAATTAAAAATAATTTTTCGACCGTTATTTCATTATTCCAACCGTCATTTTTGAATTCTTCTCTCACAGGTAGGACCCACTTTATCTCTAACGGTCAAAAAATCAATTATTAAAATTCCTACCAAACAAGCACTTAATATTATTTTGAAATAATCACGGTCTAGTATTTCACGTCGTTAATGATGTGCGAAATGGCCCATCGTAGAAAATGTTACGACTCGTCAAAGTAGGTTGTTCCAAACTAATATTTTAAGAATTTCAATAACAAGTTAAATTTTAAAAATTCTTCGACGATTATACACTAGCCGTATCCATAAATCTTTCATATCCTCTCGAAACTCATTTCGAAAACTATATCATAAACACATCGA